TTTTTTTTTTTTTTTTTTACTATTCATGGACCCTCCCCCTGGTCTCGTTTTGACTTGGTAGTTCCGTCTTCGTCAATCCAGGACCAAGCAGCAATAAAGATGCTTAATACCTGCGACAAGCTATGAATTTCGCCGACCCGACAAAACGACAAGACCGACAGCAACCCGACATGGCCTCCCAACCCACTCAGGCCCAACTCAACCTGGCCGCTTTGGCAGGTTCACCATCGCCGCGAACGATGCGAAGCCTGCGCAAGATCCAGTCCCATCAACTTCTTTCATCCTCTCAGCTCTCTCAACCCTCAAGCGCCCGTAGTTCCGCTGGACCTGAGGAGCTTTCTCAGCCAACTCAGCTGGATTCGCCGTTACGCCTGCGCACGCATCGTCGAGCTCGATCGAATAGCGATGCCTCAACCCGCGAGCCTCCTGCCATCGGAACCCAGCGACGATCAGGAAGGAAAACTGGCTCGGGTTTTGGCATCAAGAGATCAGTCTTGGAGACATTGTTACGAGATGGACCACAGCAGGGAAATGTCCGCGAGGGTCTACAAGAACTGAGATACTTGATTTTGTCCACGAGGGTAGAAGCGGATGCTGACGGCATGGTATGTTTTCTGTCGCCTGGGAGCTAGAACAGCTACTAACCCTAAATCCAGTCGTCGTATCGAGTGTACCTATGGCTGGCACTTCTGGATATACCCCCTGTCCCAACGGATGAATATCTCTCTCTCATCCACCGCGGCCGCTCACCAGCTTATACAAAAATCCGCAACGACACCTTCCGCACGCTAGCCACTGACCCTTTATTCAAACGCCGTGTCACAGAAGCAAGCCTAATCCGACTCCTCAACGCAGTAGCCTGGAAAATTCATGACGCAAAGAACAAAAACAAGGCCAGAAAACCTCGTTCGTCAACCTCCCGCCGACGGGAGATGGAGCTTCTCATCAATACCCCCCCTAGCATCGCAGAGGAAGAATCAAGCCCGGAAGTGACAACATCGAGCAACAGCCGCAGTAGCACCATCACCAGCGACTCGGCGATCTACGTACAAGGCATGAACGTGCTCTGCGCCCCGTTCCTCTACGCCGCGCGCAGTGAGGTGGAGGCCTTCGCCTTGTTCCACTCGTTCATCACCCGCGAATGTCCGGGTTATATCCGCGGCGCGATGGACGGGGTCCATCGCGGTCTCCGTCTAGTGGACCGTTGTCTAGAGATCGTCGAACCCAAGCTCGCCTCCTACCTCTTCTCAAAGGGTATGCAGGCAGAACTCTACGCTTTCCCATCCGTGTTAACCATGTGCGCCTGTACACCACCTTTGCCTGAGGTCCTCCATCTCTGGGACTTCCTATTCGCATACGGCCCACATCTGAACATCCTTTGTATTGTTGCCCAACTTATCCGAATGAGAGATACTATCCTCGAAAGCCCAAGGTACGTCACGTCTCTTCCAACCATAGCAACCAAAAGAAGCCAAAACAGAAAAACAATAAAAATAAAAAATAAATAAAAATAGAAAAACCAAAACAAGAAACAAGAAACAAGAAAGCTGCACCCAAAAGTCCAGACCCATCACACATATTGCCACCCAAATCTAGCCCATCTGACATATCACTCCAGTCCGAACAAGATCCTCCGATCCTTCCCACCTCTCGACGCCAAAGAAATCATCGCCTTAACTGTCCTGATCGTCCGGAAGATCCCCGAACCACTCTATGCCGAACTGATCGACCATGCCAAATAGATTGATTTCTTCTACCTAGGTGTGGCATCAGCGAAGACCTTTCTTACGTGTATTATTTATGAATTTCCTATTCGGTTTCGCCCTTTTTGGTCCAGAAGAGAAAGAAACATTAATAACCTGTTTCCGGGGCCGCGGCGATGGTGTTTTTTTTTTCATTTTTCTTTTTTTTCTTGTTTCTCTTTTCTTTTCCATTTTCTTTTCTTTCTTTTTTTTTTTTTTTTTTTTTTTTTTTTTTTTTTTTTTTTTTTTTTTTTTTTTTTTTTTTTTTTTTTTTCTGATCTATATTTTTCTACTATTTTCCCTCTATTTTTTTCTTCATTTTCATTTTCTTTTTCTTTTTTCCCTTTCTTTTTCTCATCTTTCTAATTTTTCATGCCTTATGAAGATGGCATTGTATTATGACAGTATGATAGCATGATGAAGAGAGAATTTGTATTAGCTGTTAGATGAGTTATGAATGATGATTGCATTAATCACTGATCCCATAGATCAATAATTATCTAATAAATGCAATGTTGAGCAGCAAGGGAGGACTAAATACAGATATATCATATAGCTAGATAATTATATCATGCATGAATTATCCGCCGTAGTTACGAACGATTAAGTGATTAGGTAAATATAAATATAGTCCTCTATTTCTTATTAGTACTCATCCACCCCCAACGCCCTCAACATGAGAAAGCGGACCAAAAAGAAAAAAAAAAAGGTTAAAATAGTTAGTGCTCACTATGCAAGAAAAAAAAAGCCCTTACTATATCCCCACCCAACTTTTTGCAAAGTGTAACTAGATGATATATAAACTTGAACCTGAACCTGAACTTAAAAACAACCTAACCATCCACCCAGCCCTGTCCCTGTCCTGTCCGTTTCATGGCTAGCAACATAACCAAAAACGATATATAGCAAGCCAACCCACCCAGAAAGAAAAGATCAGAAAAAGAAAAAAGCGAAGAATCCGCAAAGAAGCATAGAATAAAAAATCAAAAATCAGGTAGTAATCTCCTTGCGACCAATCCCAGATCCATTTACGACTAATGGCCCCGGTCGACATTTCGTCTGAGATGCTTCTTCGGTGGTGGGCTCTGGTTTGGGTGATTCATCGGTTGTCGGTGTGGTGATAATGTGCTCAGGCGCGTAGGTGGTTGGAGGAGGGGCAGAGACGCCACTGACCGGCATCGTGGACGGGGGAGTCAGGGCATAGGAGGCAGCGTAGGAGGCAGCGTAGGGCACGGGGCGGTCGATCTTGACTCTGATCTTTGCGTTTAGGAAGATGGAGTTGTTGTAGCTGGCGACGGCGCGTTTGGCTTCGTCGGCGGTACGGAAGGTGATACGGGCGAAGCCCTTGCAGCGGGCTGTGGTGGGGTCGAGGGGCACTTCGCAGGATTCGATGGAACCAATGTCTTGGAGGTGGGAGTGTAGGTCGGATTGGGTGGTTCTAGGGCTGAGGTTTTGGATGAAGACTGTTCGGCGCGGGGGAGACCGGGGGTTGTTGCCGTTGCTTTGCGAGTGCGGGGCGTAGACGGGGATCGGGGTGGGAGTGTAGCTGTAGCTGTAGCTATAGGTGGGTTTATGGAGGTTTGTGCGGTGGGAGGCGTCCTGGAAGGCGGGTATGGGGGAGACCGGGTATGGTGGGTAGACGGTGAAGGTGAGGGGGTCGCAGAAGGGGGGTTGGAGAGCTGGTGAGGGGGGAATCCCTGGCATGGATTGCGATAGCGGATCGGGGTAAATGGGAAAGAAAGACTGGTGTGGCAGCCCCATGACCGGGGCATGTCCATACTCTGGAGGTGGATATGTTGGGCTGGTCCCGGCTATCATGGGTCTTGTGCGTATCAGTATGCAGCTTGGGACGTAGAAGATGCGGGAAAGATATGTATGGATGCGTGTGGATGGGATGGGGCTTACTCCGGAGATATGGGCGATGGAGGCACGGCCATGTTCCGCGAGACTCTTGGGGGCGTCGAATACCCGGCAACGTAGTCTGATGGGATCACACAGTGTGGACTTTTCGTTGGTCCTGCAATGGGCCGAGTAGGTGAGCTAGTCCGAGCCAGCGTCACGACTAAGCTCTGTCCTTCCCAGCCATTGGTGGATAGTCTATCTGAGGGATCGTTAGTTGCGGTTTATAGCTTCCCTCGTTCTCGCATGGAATACGCACGGTAAGTCCGCCATGCTTCCTCTTCGTTTTTCACGATGATCTGGCCCAGTCCGGTGGGAAACCCGTGGTGGTCATCGTATACTACAGCTTGTCGGATGTGCAAGGCTGTTTGGCGTACTAGATCCTTCAATTCTTGCCAGCGACAGTGGGCTGGAATCTGTCTCTTCAGTAAGACAGCCATCTGGTAATCCGACCTGCCGCAAGTCACTTACACCTTGGAGGAATAGAACGAACTCCTCATCTGACCCACGAGATCTTGATTTTCCTTTCTGTGGATGAGGCATGGTGCAGCTTTGGATGGGTGCTATGAATCAAACTGCTCGTGGATGTCTGCAGGGAAGGATAATGCGCAATATCCGAGAATGCTTCAAGCCGGACCAGGTTTGACACAGGTTATGTCGAGACAATGAGTTCAAGCAGCAGCCCGTAAACCGTATGGGTCAACGCCTTAGCGGAATTTGAATTGGTAGACCTAGAAGCGATGTGACGGGCGTGGCATGCACTATCAACAAATTGACTGGCCACAAAGGACAGACAGACCCAAATGTCATAAAAACGTCCTGATTACCTGATTCGACGACTTTAGAATACGGTCGCTTGTTCGACAAGTGTCCAGAGCTCGGGAATGTATCGGAAATCCAAGATCGAGATGGTAAATCCCTCCTTTAAACATGCAAGGATCGGATGAACGAAGGAACGAAACAGGAAAAGGCAAGAAAGAGGATTAGAACAGATCTGAATCGATCTATTCCGTACATTCAGGGTCCCACCAGGGAGATGGTGGGAAACGATGGCAGCGGTACTAATCGCAAGAGTGCAACGAGGCCAGACACGGACAAAGCCGCCGATGCATCGGCTGACGAATGGAGATGCGTGGCTCGGGCAGCGCAAGGGAAATGGGCTGAAAATGCTTCCGGAGTGGATTGGGAACTATTATTGAGATATGTCAAATTGCCTCCAATCTGATGGATGTGATGGACGCGGATGCGTGGACCTGTTGGTTATATGTCATGCATCGGTTCCGGTGGGTAAGTGAGCTAAGTAAGAGCTATAGAAAGGTTGAAGAAAGAAGGGGAAAGGGAAGAGAAGGGAGGGAAGAAAGAAAAATAAAATAAAAATGGAAGAAAGAGAATGAGGGAATAGGAAAAATGAAAAGAAAAGAAAAGAGAGTAGCTTACAATATTTGCTTCTTTTTTTTTAAAAAAATTATGTTTTATAACATTATTTTCCCCCCTTCGTCTTTTTGTACGGTATGAAAACAATTGTTGCTGCTATGAATAGTGCCTTGAACTTCCGAGCCCTTCAAAGCCGTCATGACACACCTTCCGTCTCAGACGACGAGAAAGGAACACTTTCAGATATTCGAGGACGCTTCTCTTGGCAATACTATGTTACACCGCTAGATTTCAGGACAGCCACAACAGGGGAACGATGGCGAAGCTGGACTCTGGAGAACTCGCAAAGGAAGTGAAGTGGAGCATCAGCCCTGCATTCATTCTGCGAATGAGAAGGCAACCCGGCTGGACGGCATCATTGTCTCTGTGGAATCGCATTGTGAGAGAGAAGTTGTTGAATAACCGATCATCGATCGGGTTAGACTAGGATCCTGGTGGTCGATAGCTGTCCCATTAATGAAGATCTGCTGAGGAAGAAATTCCCAGGAATTAATGGCCAAGACACGATCACAAAGAAAAAGAACAGAAGACGAGCAACGGTGATTGGAAGAGGTCGAAATGCATCCCAGAGTTTACGGCCAGCATTGCTTTTTGCTTGTCTTCTGATTTGGCATTTGGTTCAGCCGGCAAAAAGGAGATCAACAGCATTGGTGGAGGAAGATGGAGACCCCGAGATGATGCATCATCTTTTTTGATAAGCCGCACTCTTGTCCGACGTGACACTCCCTCCTCCTAAACCAAGAAATTAGTACCTGAGCTATAACTTTTTTTCTTTTCTGTTGACATTTAAAATTTAGAGTCGTCCTGTCAGATTCATCGACGCGTCAATTGAATGAATCTGGTTGAGGAAAGGGTCCTTAGTCGCTCCCTTGATGAATAGTGTTCCGATGCCGCGCTGATCCCTGACCACATCCGCATATGAGGCATCCATTAATGCTCAACACCGTCCAGTCGTGATCAATATCTGCATATTAGGCGGGCAACCGCTGGTCACCGCCAGTACGACAATATGTCAGGACGCGATACGACGTAGGGAGTAAGGTGGTTCTGTGACCGAGCGCTACGGAACAGTTCGCCGAAGCTCATGGTTGATCAAAGGCGACGTTCTGGAGACCACAGTGCTGTGCCCTAGCGGAAGAGGGCAACGGGCTGAATGAAAAGTCCTTGGGCGATAGAAGATAGATAGAACCATGTGACCTGTAGAGTCCAGATGAAAGTGGTTTATTCAATACTCTGACTAACCCGTTCTTCTTTTTTTTTCTTTTTTTTTTTTTTTTTCGCTTGTCTTCTTCCGCTCCTGTCACGTCACTCTTTTCAACGAAATAGAATATTCTCCGTTTCAAAAAAACGTACGAGTCAGCAACGGAATCGACAGAGTACTAGTTTAGTGTTCATCTCAATCGAAAAAACCGCGGGATTCACTAAAAATCAATAGTCCGACGATCGATCGATAGCCGACTACCATCATCTACCCGGTACCGTGGTTCTGGCTATGATCTTCCACTAGCAACTATTGCTTCAACTGGAGACTGAGATGGAGGACGGAGTACAGTCATCATACTCCGTACATCCCATGATCTTCAGTTCCAAATACCGGCGTCTCGTAATGCCGCAGTCACGGACACTTGAGTCATGTCCATGTTTCCTTCTTTTTCGGTCGCGTGGATCTCGTACAGTGAAAAGAGAACTAGTTGACAATAGACTTTCGGCAGGCCAGTACCGGAGGTTTTTGCTTTTTCACTGAGAGCCTGTTTGGGATTTACTACCGAGCGCGTTAGTCTGTCCGGTTGTTCTGGAAGTTGTCTAGAATTTAGGGATGCGTTCTACTGTACACTTCTTTTCTGGATATTAAACTCATTCACCTGTCTTTGATCCTCTGTCAAGGGACACCGCTTAAAAAAAGCCCCCCCCTTGATGCTCGGGTCCGAAGTAAACACACACTCTCGCTCCTCGTGCGGTAGAAGCTTTTGATCATCCAAGCAAGGACAGGGTCCTTGAATTTCCGAAAGCTATCTGTATTCGCTCACCGTGTCCATGGAAAGACGTCGCGGGGGTAGAGAGCAGACCCATGGGATGCTCGAAGTGTAAAGGTTATGTCAACTGTCATTGTTTGGTCCATTCGATGGAACCTCAACTCAAGAACTATCCATGATTCACCATTACTTCAACGAAAGTCGAGTGAATTGCTTTTCTCCAGGGCGTTGGGTAGCAACCATCACCCATCAGCAGCCTGAGAAACGGTGAAAGACGGGCAAACACCAGACGTAAAAGCCCAAATATTCATACTCGGGCCCTACCGTACATAGGGCATCCTCAATGACCACTACACAGTGGACATACTTCCAATCCCTCACAATGAAAAACTCTCTTATCTCCCTGACTTCCGCCACAGGTAACTCTACCTCTCAAGAAATAAACCCCCCGTACGGAGTTACACCTACACTCATGAACCCCCTTCAGAAATATCCAACCCATCTGAAACTCCAAACCCGCCACCGGGCAACAGTAAATCAGTGGAGCCCTACAGCAGCTGAAAAAGGTCTGAATTTGAAACAAACCCTACGGGCTCAAAAAACGGAGAAGTCCGACCACTCTCATGCCAGCCGAAATGAATCCCGCCAGACACTCGACCCACTGATCAACTTGGCCCTCTCCACAGTAACCGAACGTTACATGGTTTGTAAAAGGGGGTGGAGTTCGTGGTTCATATTTTTTTTTCCCTGCGCCACACTCGCGTGGTTGCCTACAGGGCATAGTCTGGTACCATATTTCTAACGAGGGTTGTTTCTGGTTCTCGTGGGGAAAAAAAAGAGTGAAGAATGTGTCTCGGTAATACTTACTGGACACTATGTCTGGTACTAAATTGGTTAGTTTTTTTGGATGAGAATTAATGGTTTTTATTTTATATTTATTTTAATTTTTTTTTTGTGTGTGTGATTTTGAGAATAGCGAATGGAAAGAAAAGGGGCGCTTCGCGCGCCTGGAAATACATTCTTACCTAGTTAGTAGTTACATACTAGTATGGACTCTGTATACCGAAGACACGCGATCTGAGCACTCGGTAGTAATTGAAGTGGCAGACAGCCCATTTCCCGAGCATTTGTTCTTGCGCCAGCAGTAAGGGGGAGGGGTAAATAAGGTAGATCGCCCTTGTTGAGGGGTATGTATGTATGTATGTACATTGTATGTATATCCATCCATACGAAACAAGCTTAGGAAGTTGTTTGTTTTTTACTCTTCAACATCCCGTTCGAGTAAATACTTGGCCGATCTGGAGTAATGAGTCCATTACTGAATCAGGAAGTTGAGATCCAAATGGAGGAAAGAGAGGGGGATGTTAACAAGCTGGAAGCTCTGTGTGATGGGTTGGTTGATTTATGGTTCGTAGGTGGTCTGGGCGTAGGATCTACGAGGTAATTTGATTGTTCCGCCCTCTTAGAGTGTGGCGTCGAACGGGTGTGAAATTGCAACAGGGGGGATGTATGACATGCATAGGGGTTTCATGAGGCGATGTTGGTGGGATCTGTGGATGTTTTGCATGGATGGTAAGGATCTACTCACGGAGGTCGGTCCTGACAGCTGATGTTGTTGCCGATGACGCCATATCGGCCTTGCGGGAGAATGGCATGTTCATCGTCAATGAGTTTGTTGTCGATGCAATGGCGATCATCCCGGGGTTATTGGGTTTAATTGCGATAGGCAGCGCGCATTGGTATGTCGGCACAGGTGTGGAAAGTATGCCAGCCGCCCCTATTCAGAGTCCGCTAGAGTGCCACAGTGGGAAAAAAAGAATTTGTATTGTAGATCAATTGAATGAGCTCGATATTGTATTGTAAGCGTTGCTTACGGGGATCTAGTATAACGCAGTACTCTTAATCGCTAATGGTTCGACATAAAGTGGGTATTGAGCGGAAAAGAAACAATTAGACATAGTGAAACAGAGGAAAGAAAAGGAATCCTTGAACTCTATTCAGGACCCTACATGCCGTGCTAAGGAAACAACACACAAAGAAACAGCTTAGTTCCTTGTAAGATATGCAATACAAAGTGAATGACACATATGCAGGGTATCGTAGATTTCCATCGAGCTATTGAATATAAATGTAGCTTCATCGAGGGGTAGGACACAGCTCGGAGTTATCGAGCATGGTAGACGGCATTATTCGTTGTAGATGCCGAACTTTCCGAGCCTGGCTATTGTCTTTTGCCGCTCATTGATCCCGTGGGAGTGAAGAATTATTCCTTTGTCCACGCATCCGGTCCACCGTACCTTCTGTGACGCGTGGTGAGTCATTGCTCCCTTGGGTATGATTGCGAGATGTGCGGCATCGATAAAGCCCATCCGACCTCAACGACTGAATCGTAGTCCGTAGCCCTTATCCTTTGCTCGAGGAGTGAGAGAAGTCGTGCCAGCACAGAACAGTTCTCGGAAATATCGTCTGAGCGAGTGGTCGTCGAAATAGAAAACAACTAAAACTGGAGAACGAACATGCCGATCCTGCCTGCTGCCTAGAGGCGGCGGTGGTGTAGCAGAAGAGCTAGAATGCACGACGAAAGATGCGTTCGTAACGATGTCGTTTCTCTTTTCTTGTTCTGTTGCGCGAATTGCAAGAGGCGATTGTTTCATCGGATAAAGCCGACCATAGATGCACAGCGGCTGCAGTAGTATGAATTCATGCCGAAGCGCACAACACCGGGGGAGGAGTCATTTTCAAGGCTCATGGAGCGCTGACATCTTGAACAGCGGACAATATCGAAGTTCATGGCACCAGCCTCTTTCGTTGTGTGGGAAACGCCCTTTGCGCCACCGGAAGGTTGCGGTTGAACCTGTACCGAGGGCGAACTCATTTTGGGAAATGCCGATCGATGCGGGCGCAGTGTAAATGGATGGTATGGGCGACGTTGTGGGGGTGTGTATGGTAGGCGGGAGTAGTAGCACTGATCCGTTTCGACGAGAGTGTCAACCAGAGAAGGTTGTAGGCTTCGGAGAGAGGAAGGGAGAGAAAAAGGTGAGAGCGTGGTTGTTGGGAGAAAATTGTTTGAAGAGAAAATAATAAAACGAGGCTGAGTCAATGCGTAGTGAAGTAAAGAATAAAATAATAAATTCACGGAGTGACGGAAATGTTTCTTTCTTGTTCTGCGGACGTAATTTCCACGAGATTCCCAGGCAGACGAGAATCAACCACGTGGGACAGGGTTTGTGTCAAGAAAGTCGAACGGACAAGTCGGCATTCAAAGTTCGGAGGACGAGAAGAATCGTGAGAAGTGACTAGAATAAAAACATTCAAACTGGGCTGGACTGGAAGTATCGAAATATCTATACCACCAGCCAAGGGCAAGTTTGAAGGGTCAGATCGATCCACTTGCTTCTCCCTGTTTAGGACCGGCGTCTTTTTAGTTTGAAAGCGAAAATAGTTTTTTTTAGGGCCCGGGAGAGGGAGGAGAGAAAAAAAAAATAATGAAATAAAGTAAAATCAAAAATAAGGAATTTTGAAAATTTGAAGGGAAAAAAAAAATAATAAAATCTTAGTGAATCAGGAGACTGCAAAACTGGAGATGCACTTATGGAGCCCGGAGGAGAAAGCGCTTTTTTAAAATGGAGCAAATATTAACCACCATCAATACCAGTCTCGATACTTAGGAGTTCTTCGAGTAAACTAGGAGAACAGGGCGGAATGTGGGTTCAGTTTCAGGGTCAATCCCAGGCTGTCAACCATGGGGGTAAAAACCGATCCTCCATAGAGACAGTCGGAGAGAGAGGTTGTAGCTTCGTGATTATAGGTATGTACGATGCCGACCGTAGGGCGGAGCAGGAAAGTATTATAGTACCTCGATGTTGCTACTATCGGGGTACGGAGTACATACGGTACTTGTATGTATGTATGTACATACAGCTGTGCATCAGGCTGCCTTTCTTATTCTAATGATTTGAGTTTCGGGGTTTTGAATGAATGTACTGTACATCAAGTCTGTTTGGTCGATCAGTGTATGGATAAATTTACTACCCCCCC